TAATTATTGAATATTTAAAAAAAAAATTCCAAACGTTCACAACTCGTCATGTTTGTGTAAATTCTTCTTTGTGTTTGCGAACATCTCAGACGTTTGTGTTTGTCGTGGTTTGCAGATTTCTTTAGCTCTCGTCTCTTCTCTACTTTCAGGGAGACGACTGTGACGAGAAAGATTTTTGCGCCATCAGCCCAAACTGGACGTACGACAGGCGGACGCGGCGATGGCGGCGCCTCGACTCCTCTGTGGACATCGTTTGCTTGACTGACAGCCCGACCCGACACCGAGATTTGTCCCTGAGTGACGTCAGCGACCGCCACGACGTCTGCTCCATCCTCAGCTCCAGCAGCGCCGACAGCGACGCCCACGACAAGAGTCGAAGAGGACCCGTTACCATGACAACCACATCTGCTGCCACGGACGACCAGGAGACCAGCAGGAGCTCCTCCCGCTGCTCGTCCACGAACAAGACCCCGTCCCTGGACATATCTTTCAGTGGACCCCCCTCCCCCGTGGAGAGCGGAGGATCGTCCAGCGTCAGTCTGGAGACGGACGGCGGCCTCCCGGACAAACCGCCGAGGAAGACGAGCACCAGTCTGCTGAGGAAGATGGAGAAACTGAGGCAGAGGGGCGGGACCACCACCCTGCTGCCCTCTGCTGGTGACGCTAGAGGAAGCGACAGTGGAGGTCGGACTCGGCTCGTTATCAGCAGACCAATCCCAGACGAGAAGAGGGGGGAGGGGCTGCACTACACCAGGTGAGGATGGGACCTTTAAAAAAAACCTTGAACGATGTTCAGTCCTTCTCTAACTTTACTTTTCCTTCTTTGTCTCAGGCTGCAGAACCGACCCGACAGCCGGGCGTCGTCCTCGTCTCCTCACACCAGCAGCAGCAGCAGCAGCCAATCAGAGAGCAGCAGCACCGTCAGCACCCCCAGCCCCGTCACCCGGGTCAGGAGTAACTGCAAACGCTCCAACAGCGGCGTCGGACCAACCCGGAACAACCAGAACCACATGGAAACAGAGGTCAGTACAGAAGGTCCAACGTGTCCAACAGGTCCAACAGGTCAAGAAGTTCAAAAAGGTCCAACAGGTTTGATTTTGTGAATAAAAACTAATATTTTACGTCGGGTTTAGTAAAACGTTGGAAAATTGGGCAAATATGGATCAAATGTTAAAGATCGGTGACGTCACAAAGATTCTGGACGACTGACTTTTTCATAAAAAAACCTTTAAAACAAACCAGAGGAAAGAAACAGAGAAGAAACATCAGACTTTAAGTTTCATCGTAAACACACAGTGACGATCAGAAGAACAAATCTGAAAACAAGATTTTCTAAAAGCTCAAACTGAAGAAAAGGAGAGTTTCAGACTTTAACAGGTCATTTTTTTAAATGTCACTGCAGCTGAGGAGCTTTAATTAAACCACAGCTCCACGTGATCCTGGCTGAATATTTCAAACATCACTTTTACTGCAGATATTTTGAAGTCAAACGTTTCCTTCCTTTGTCAGAGCTACAGGAACCAGCTGAACAACAACGGCGGCCATGACAGTCTGATCTTCCACATCCCTGACGGACACAAACCCGGGACCTTCCCCACCTCCCTCGCACACAAGCACGCCTCCTCCTGCCCCATCATCGACAACACCTCCGTCAACTGGAGGACCGGCAGCTTCCACGGTTACCGGCCGCGAAACAGCTGCCGTCACGGCACATCGTCACTGGCCGCCGGCACCCGGGGCCCCTTGTCTGCCGTTGGGGCCCCCCGCCCGCTCCCCATGTTGGATCACCGGCTGAGCGTCTACGACAACGTGCCCGATGAGCAGCAGCTCTCTGCTGGAGGAGGAAGTACCAGTGAGTCAGAGGTGAGGACTATTTCTAATTTTATTTCTATTATACAAATAGATTTATTTCATATTTAATATTATAGAGTGAAAAGTTTTATTTTCTAATGTTTTACTAAATTAATTCTCCACGATCAGAACCTGAACCATCAGTTGGCCGATAAAGACACGTTCATATATAAACTATTTATTCTACAGACCAAACATTCAAGGAAAATACGTATTCAGGTTCTATACATCTGTTTTCTTTTTATTGAGTTATTTATAAAAGGTTTACGGTTCAAATGTAAAATCTCAAACCTGGTTTCTTCGTCATAATCGATCGAGACGTGTTTGAGATGTTTCATATTAAATTACAGGAAATCTGAAATTCATCTTCTAAGTGTTTTCCTGTCGACCTCTGCTGAAGGTCGTCTGCTCGTCGGTTGAGTGGCTTCAAGGGCGAATACGTCCTGTTCTTAAATTCTCTTTGTTCCGAAGACGACGTTGAACGATTTGTTCCAAAACGACAGATCGAGATAAACAACGACTGCTTGACTAGAAAAACATCGGTCGTCTTCAGCTCCAGTTTTATTCTGTTCAACTAATGAAAATTAGACTTTGAGCTTTTTAACTCTTTCACATGAGGAAAGAAACACGGACGTGACATCATCATCATCATCGTCTCCTATGTCCTCTTTTCTCAGGTGAGTCGTCTGTTGGCAGGTGAAGACGTCTTCTCGGCTCTGGACAGCGTTTTAGAGCGAATCAACAACCTCCAACAACTCGTCTCCTCGTGGTCGGACAATCTATCTGAGGACGACTTTCAGAGAGCCTCCTCTTCTTCCTCCTCCTCCTCGTCCTCCGCCTCCTCCTCCTCGTCCTCTGCCTCCTCCTCCTCTTCGTCATCTTCCTCTTCTCACACCCAGGACTCACCTGTCCACTCCTTGTCAGCCGCCTCCCCCTGCCCGTCGTCCCCGAGCCACATCCACCTGGAGGTGAAGCATCCAGAGGAGGAGGAGGAGGAGGAGGAAGGTGAGCAGAGATGTGAGAAGGTTCAGGTGAACGGAGAAGAACCAGTGACGAGATCCCCACAGCCGAGGAGCAGGTGAGTGAGGTGGAACAAAGACATTCAAAGTTTTCAGGTTCCAGGTTTAGAACGTCCGGCAGCTTCTTTCAAACACGAGCTGCTAAATAGCAAAAAGCAAACACTTACATGTGTGTGTTTGTGTGTTTGTGTGTTTGCGTTCAGCAGAGTGAGTCGCCGGCTGCACTGGTCCAGCGAGCAGAGTCTGATGCCCTCGCTGACCTCCAGCCCGGGGGTGGAGAACCAGTCCGTCTCCCAGTTCCTCCAACTGCAGAAACACTCGCTGCTCAAACTCACCGCTCTGATGGATAAATACTCCCCGTCCAGCAAACAGGGCTGGAACTGGTGAGACGAGACCAGAATGTTCAGACGAGTAAATGTGAGGGTTGAGCAGAGGTCAACGTTAAACTGAGGCGTGAAGAGAAACAGCCTCGGTGAAAACCACCGTTTTCTTGGCTTCAAGGAAACGACAGAGGGCGGGGGGAGGGCGAGGG